AGCATGTACAATAGAGAAACCTAGATCCAAGTAGTAGGGTTTGTATGAGCACATAGGATGTCTTATGACCAAAACCCATCATCTATTCCATTGAGTATAGAAGTACTAAGATTTTTCTTATTAAATTAAGGAACTAAAACTTCATATCTAGATTGGATGGCTCTTTAATCACTTACTTGGGTTAAGCCATTAATGTTTGGGGCACTCTTATGTTATTCAACAATATTTGGATTCTAGAAGAGTAGAATTCATTTCAAGATTTGAAGTTTCTCAACTTTCACTTTGATTGGCCTTTTTTCTACAACAAATTGAAAATAATTAGTCGATACTAAAAATGTTTTATTGTTAATCAAAGAAACCCAAGAACTCCAAAACATTTATTAAATAGCAATTATTAACATCGGCAAAAATCGAGTTAGAACGTAAACATGAAACTAAGAACGTTAATCAAATGACAATTAGCATTATAAAAACAAAATTGAAACACAAATTATCAAAAAATATATATCCGAAGAAAATTGAACCGAATAAGATTTGATTTAGCCGGTTAAACCCAAATTATACCCTTTATATCAATTTTTTAATGCACGATGATAAAGCTAGTGGAACAGACTAAAAGCAAGATAAATAAGTTTTTTATTCTTACACTTCAACTTGCATGAACAAAGACGTATATGTTGTTCCAAGATTTTTAATGACTCTTTTATACATATTATTACAATCTTCGATTAAATTTTCTAATTTTGTATTATTGAATTTGTTTATATCAATGATTTTCGTTTCAAAATCACCATTATAGTACAAGACTTCACCGGCGTGGTGTTACTTACGTTATTCGATCGTGATGCAAAAAAACTTCTAGTAAAAAAAACACTAGAGTTGCTTCAAAAGTTTAATGAGGTTATCGATATTAACTTCATTTACATAAAACTAATTTTTACTTTTTGTCTGTCTATTTTTATAACCGTTAATGTTTTTCATTTTTATGAGGGTAATATAAAGATTTATCCGTTTGCTTTGAAATTATTTTTGGATAAAAAGTTGGTGTTCAAAATTCAAATTTCTCATTATAATTTGAAGAACAATGTTGATGGTTATGCAATCTCAAACTTCAATGTTGATAATAAAATCACTGTTGAATTGGAAAAAAAATTAACATTGAACAGGTAACATTCTTTTACGAAACATACTACAAACACTGCACTTATTAGATTGGTTTTTTATATTTTAGTTGATCAACTAACCTATTTCTATGTACTACAAATATAGGCGACGTAATCCGATTCGTATAACGTTTTATCGGCAAATTTCGGATGTCAAGACACATTAAATTTAAAGGTTTTTTAATTATAATACAACTAAATCTAATATTTTAAATACTTTAAATATTATTAACTTTTAGATTCACATATGAATTTATTTTCTATATTTATGATGCAGTTTTGTATATTGGTGATAACGTCACACCATTTCAAATCTTGATAAAAGTATTGCAACAAGTCCACTAACTTATTGGACATCCTTTAAAAAAGTGTCTAGACATGAAGAATTAAAACACAACTTGGAAGATGTTTACGATGTTGATAATCTGGAAACAATGTCCTCAACCAAACGATCAGTAACATCAATGACATATCGTACTTCAGGTGAAGGCAAGTCAAAACTGTTAATTCCAAAGAAAGAAAAACAATATCTGATTTTCATGATTTTATACAAGTAGTTGGGTGATTTGAGTATGGTTGATTTCATGTTATGTTTACATACTATTTGGTTTTTGGGTTTGGTTATTGACTATTTTGTTTCGTACTATTCGTTTTTTGGGTTAGAATTTTGATTATTTAAATACATTTTGGGTTTTATGAAATGTTCATCTATTTTCCTTTTGGGTTTCAACTCATATGAATTTAGAATTTTAATCATTTTTTACTATATTATTTCGTTTGAATGTGAATTTATCAACATTGTTATAATGTTATTCAGTACAACTTAAATATAAATATAAGCAAACTACAACTTTTTATGAAATTATAAACTTTATAAACTGGCCTTTTAACTGTTCTAAAACAATTATTTATAGTTCCTTGTGAATTTATTAATAAATTTATCAGTAGCGTCCGGATTTGAACATATGTCAATAGGTTATCCACCATATCTTCCACATGTCTTACTAAGTCACCACAACCCAAGTGTAGGACATTTACATATACAAAATAGAATATTTAATTCTATGTCTAAAAGAGAAACTTTATTTCATCATCTAAAGCAATAAATACTTTTGATTGTGTTTCACTTATACATTTTCCACCCTTAGATCAAATTGTTTACATCATCTTAACCAATGTTTGGTCAAACACGTCTATCAATGTTTACGCTCAAACCTTCACCAATTTCTGTTATCCCTAAAATAAAATTCAAATCCTCCAAAAATTTGAAGTCATAACTTATGCACCGACCATCCTATATGTTTGCAAATCAACATGATATATCTTCTTAATTATTCAATTTCTTTCTCAGTGTACATCGATGGTACCAAAATTCATCAAGGTCAAAATAATCATGTTGTATTTAATTTTTATTAATATAGTAAATACTTCCAATTTTGAAGATAATAATTGGTCTCATACATGTTAAATTACAATTGCTCGATTTCCAACTATCTAACTGAATAATTGGTCTCATACTATAATTAAGTTTAAATTGCACAGATTTTTACTTGAAAGTGATGAGCATTAGTTGATGTTTTTATTGAAGCTTGAGGATGATGCAAAACTCAAAATACCTTAGTGGTAATATCCTACATACTTAATAATTCATTATTTCGACAAAAATACATTCCATTAACTTTGATGACAAATTTTTCGAATTAAGCATATTTTTATGATTATAAATTTGTTTTCTCAACTAACTTGTACTTATCATCTTGAAGATGAGAAAAGATTAACCATGTCTACATTGAAAAGTGCCAAAAAAATCTTATTGGTCATACCTTTTTTACATGATCTTCCAATGTTCTTTGTTTTTTATTCGTTCTTATGTATTTGATTTATTTCTTCAAGAAACTCAGTTTTCTGTTAGTTTTGATAACAAATTTGTTGAATTAAGCATACTTTTATGATTATAAATTTGTTGATTTTCTATTGTTAAATCAAGTGTAAATGAATTTGAACAATCATTAAATTTCATATTCTATAATGTAATTTACGCATTAATTAATCAAATAATAGTACATATCTAAGTGGTCGGGTACCCCAAGACAAGAAGCAAACATGTAAATTATATGCAACTTTCACAATATTGTAATTTTTTTACTGGATTTAAATGAAATTTTACTTCTTTCACTGGATTTAGATTCTTGATTACTCATATAAGGTTGTAATAAAATAAAATTCCAATAAATTGAAAAAAAAAATGTTCATCAAAATCTTAAAATTTTGAAATTTGTTGGAAATTTGGTTATATGTCAAGTTAAGCTTTTTTTTTGTGTTGTCATGTTTGTTGATTTGGCTATGTAGGGTTCATTTGAAGTTCCATTTCTCTACAATAATGCTAATGTTCACATCTAAGTGGAAACAATTAAGACTGGTAAGCATTCTAAATGATTTTTTAACTTAAATTAATCAAAACTATTATTTTAGGTGGTGCATTCTCATGGATGTCATATCGGTTGTCATTATATAGACCTTCTAGCGGTCTATAGAAGAATCCTAGAAGCTTTATGAAGAATTTTGTTGCATTTTCAATGAAGTGTCACTTTATGAACATTCTTCTCTATAGTTCACACTCTTATTTTCGATATAGATGAATGTCAAAACAATAAGGCAGAAAGAGGTATTAGTAACCATTAAAAATGAAAATATAATATATAATTTAAGAATAATATATCAAGTGTAAATTGTAGATTTATGATATTTATTTCAATGAAAAATATGTTGTTTGATTGTTAGCTTACACACACACACACACACACACACACACATATATATATATATATATATATATATATATATATATATATATATATATATATATATATATATATAAGCTAACAATAACACAACATATTTTTCATTGAAATAAATATCATAAATCTACAATTTACACTTTATATATATATATATATATATATATATATATATATATATATATATATAATTTGATTTTGACAAGTTTGATCTAAATTTGATAATTGAAGCAGGTAGGAAAGATATGTGTTAAAAATTATGAATTTGTATTGCCTCTAGAAACCAACCGTAACCTCATAGACCACTCCCTCATATCTCAGTAGGTCTTAACATTTCCCAAAATTCAACTACAAGATGTTATGGATGCACTTCTTGAATTAATCATCTAAATCAAATTTCATTTGTTAGTTGAATGTAGTGAGAAAAAATGCAAGATTTGTGAAAGTTCATTATTATTTATTAGTGTTAACCTTTAGCAAATAATGAAACTAATATTATATTTTTGTTCATAACATGTTTTTTTTATAATAATTTATTTGATCGAAAGATATGTATATGTGATTGGGTTTAGCCTGAAAAATCATATTTTAATTTTTATAAGGAAAAGCTACTTTGAAATCACCCAAATTACAATGTCTGAATTTGATGTTTATGGTTATGACAATTCACTTTATTTGTAATGCTTATCGATTTTGTTTGCAGAATTTAATGTTGTTAGTACATGTAACAAATTACTGTTGCTTTTGGTTTTACAAGCCAATATGAGCCTCCATGGGGGTTGGTACACCAAATAAAGTCAATTCATAAAGCTACTACACAACTTGTTTTAATCAAGAAGTCGTATTATGTTGTGATAAAACAAAGATCACATATATCATTTATGTTAAAAGTTACTATATTAAAAAACCAAATTGCTCTAATATAAATATTAAATATTTTTATATAATAATTTTGGTTCAAAAACTTTAAATATGAATCTGACTAACATTTTTTTTATTAAAATTCTACCTAAGACAGAACCACGTATTAATTTGATATGTATTTAATTTATGTTTCCTGCGTTTAACGCGGGACATAATCTAGTATACGCTTCAAACCAGAAACATTAATTAAAATCCTCTATAAATAATAGTAACTTTTATGGATGAAGTTTTCAAGAATTAGCAAATCCCATTTAGAAATCATTTAATAACCAATGAATAGTAACATAGAATACGAAATACTACATCACATGCAATGTACATCTATGTAGAAATGTTGCCGAAATTGTGTGAATTTTTTCATTTACTTATTTCCTTAGAGAATTACACAACCATTACGCACCCATCTGCTTTGCCCGTCGATATTTTTTTTAATCTAACCCACCTGGACAAGCTGGAGGGACAACTTGACCTACGACTTTGGGTTTAATGTTAGCACACTCAGAGGTGGCAGGTCCTCCTTCAGGTCCTTCATACGTCAAATTAATATCAGCCACCTTTATGTTCTTGCATGGTACATCTGCACTGCAATCAAACTTCAATGCCACCTTAGTTGCTGATGTTCCCCTGATATTCCTAAAGCTCACATTCGATATGTTCACGTTTGATGCAGTTCCATTCTAGTAGTCGTAAACAAAAAAACTATATTAAATTTTCGACTTTGTACTCATTTACTTAAGTTCAAACACTAAATTATCTAATATGTGTATGATACCTGGCAGTTATTCAAAGGGCAAAATTGTTGATCGAAGAATATGGGAAATGACACATTGTTCATGATGATATCTTCATAATGCAAGTCACTAACACTTCCTGGGAAAGATGTAGGCCAAGTCTTTATCCTGAGTCCGTTTTCTGTGCCTGTCATTGTGACATTCTTGATCCAGATTCCTTGTACAGGTTCTTCATTTGCGCGTCTTCCCAAACTCCCAATACCTATGCCATCTCCAGGTCCACACGTAATATTCTTAATACGGATGTTCCTACATCCTTGACCAATAGAAATGCAATCGTCATTCGTTCTCATTACTGAGTTTGTGATGTTGACACCACTTAAACGCCCGATTTGAATTCCATCTGTGTTGACACTGTTTGCCGGTGATAAAATAGTGATATGATCAAGTCTTGTATTGTCACATAAGGACAACCTCATGTGAAAGAATTTGCTATCGGTAGATGTTATGTGTTGCAACAATGAATTTGTGACATTAGTGAATTGAAGATTCTAAGAAAGGGAAAGGAGAAAATGGTTAAAGATGGCATATGGTAATATTGAAATAATTAACCAAGTTTTTAATTACAAAAGAAAACACTTACGACTGGAAGTGGGCAAGGTCCTGGCCCCCCGTCCGGGCATAAATTTTGCTTCCAAGTTTGTTCGCCTTGACCGTTGTAAGTACCACCGATCATACTCAACTTACTAACATTCCTTATAGCGATCCAGTACGTGGTTGTGAACTTTTCAAGCTCGGGTGGGGCCTTGACGACGGCTCCGGTGGCTTTGATCTTAATTGGAGCCTTGCATGGGCCAATGAGATCAATCTGAGGAAATACCATATAGGTCCCCGATGGAATCAACACCGAGCTTGGTTCTTCTCTTCCACAGGCTTCGTTCCAAGCACTCACTATCGCCTAAAATATAAACAGACAATTTAAGGTCCACTTGTTACAATATCTTTTGTAGAGTTATATTAAGCACATATACATATATGTGGGTGTGTAAACATATACATAGTGTAGCTTAATCATTTTTTCAATTTATTGGAATTATCGTATCTATTTAAAAATGATATAGCAAAGTCATAATGACATAGATCATCTTATACTAGTTAACTATAGGGTTAATTTTAGTTGATGATAATAGCTAGTTAGGTAGTAAATCAAATTTATTACAATCTATATTTTCCCAATGAAGTATAGTTGAAGAGATAGGAGAGCTGTTTGAACTCATGAAAAATATCTAATTTTCTTTATGACATCCCATCAACAAAGAATTTGCATTTGTGAAGAATTCAATTGCTATTCATTCCTAGTGTTGTCATGTATCATGGTGAGGATCTCATTCCTAATGTGGCTACGTGAGACATCATTAGGGAGTGGATGGCAAAAGTCTTCGACAAAACCGATGAAGTGGTCAACATGTTGTAGGTACACTACCTCTCCACCTCAACATGTTGTAAAAACAAATCCTTCTTGGCATTGCAATGTCAAAGAGAGAAAAACCCATTTGCCATTTGTATTTGTGTATTAAATCCTACTTTTCCACACTCTCTCTTCTTCGTATCTTCTCCATTGCCATGACAACACTCCTTTATCTTTTCCTTGCAACCGTAAATAAAAATATAGCTTAGGTGGCCATGGCAAGCATGAAACTGCTCCTTGTAGCCTTGTGGGCCACAAACCTAACATTAAATTTATCTGTATAATACGTCAAAAAACTTATTTATGTAATGAAGAAGGATCTATGACAATGGCTTCATAAATCCTTTCAAACCCTTTTATCAATTAGGTTTAAGATAAGGTCTATTTAACATAATGTATAGGTACACCTGATAAGGAAACTATATCACCACTATCATGAAAATCTCTAAAAACATTAAACAAAATAGACTTGTTTTCCAATTTGTATCCCCATCACTATTTGTCTAGCAACAATAGATTGGAGGCCAACAACCTACCAATTCCAAGGCCACCTGAATTAATGGGTGCCAAAACGTTTTTCCATGCTAACCAAAAGATTTTTGTGGCATTGAGTGATGCAATGTAAATTTCTTTTAATATCTTCAAAAGAATTAATGTCCATTAAAGTAACACATAGACAAAATAATAACGATCAAAGAAACGTTGACGTTTCTTCATTAAAATTGGAGAACAGTGGCTCTAAAAGGCCCAAAATACTTAAAGAAAAACTTAACACCTAAGATAAATCGAAGAAATTAAAGAATAATAACTCAATCATGAATATTAAATCAATATTATTATGTTTATCTAGGGATGTCGCCACTAGTAAGATCTATACACATCTCAACTTGTCAAGTTTTGATTTCTTAGTTGCTAACTAAATTATTGATTCAAGATACACAATCGGAACATAATCTTAGATTATGTACTCAATTATATAAACTTAATAACACTAATTAATATTAATAAACATGAATCTTTAACCAATAAATCATAAAGACTCAATTGGTATGAGCGGTCTCAGGGTTAGTGGCAACTTCTCAAATTGGTTCGTTTCCTTGATGTAAATCGATTCAAGATAGAAAGGAACACATAAACACAATATTAAGGATCCAATGGGTGCCGATGTTTATTCTAGAAATCGAAATAAAATAAATCTAATTTTCTTGGAGGGGGATTCGAGATACACAAGAACACATAAGTACAATAAACTGATTTAGGTTTGTTTCTTGCTTGATAATGGCAGTGACTTGTTTAGTTCAATCAAACAATTAAATTAACCATTGATCGCAGTCTTATCCGGTGAGAAATTCAAAAAACGCACAGGACTATTGAAATATTCAACTTGAAATTTTCATGATCGGTAGCTTTATAGAGGGACATCCTAACATCTCCAAGAATAAAATAATGAAAGTATGTTTCCCTTCTTCCTTCTCTAATCACATCTTCCTATAGCATATTTTGTTCATAATTTTTGAAAAGGTAACAACCATTGATCATAAATCCATATCAACCATTGATCACTGGTACTCTATGTGATTGTTGTCCTTGATAATCTGATTTTGTTTAAGACAAAGGAGGAGAAGTAAGATAAATCAGAAGACGAAGGCCTTGTAAAAGCTCACCGTAATTAAATTAAGGTCAGTGTCCATGTGTATGCCGGCGAACCAAAAGAACACTACTAGAAAAAAAGGTGTTTTCCTACGGATAATAGCTACGGAAAAATTCCGTAGCTAATTAGCTACGGAATGGCTACGGATTAGCTACAGAAATGGACGCCCTAATTTAGTAACGGAATAGCTACGACATAACTACGGATTCAATTCCGTAGGTATTCCGTAGCTAATTAGCTACGGGATAGCTACGACATCACTACGGATTCCACTCCGTAGCCATTCTGTAGCTAATTCGCTTCGGAATAGCTACGGAATAGTTACGGATGTTAACCTGTAGCTATTCTGTAGCTACTTAGCTACAAAATGGCTACGGAATAGCTTCGCATATAATATTAAACCATTAAATGAATAAAGGATCTCGAAGGTGCAAACGACTGTATCAACACTATTAATGACTATAAGTTGTTGAAACTAAAGATAATCGTGTATAATAGAGGTGGGAAAAAAACAAAGAGAAAAAAACGATGTTTAATGCCCGGCAAATCAAAAATAATAAAATCCGTAGCAACTCCGTAGCTAACTAGCTACGGATTAGCTACGGATTTTTTTTATTTTCTATTTTTTGGGCACCAAACGTCGTTTTTTTCGCTTCGTTTTTTTTACACTTCTACTATACATCATTATCTATATTTTCACCAACTTATAGATATTAATAGCATTCATAAAGTCGTGTGGACCTTCGTGATCAAGTATTCGTTTCATAGTTTTAACAATGTAATTATACTTTTCACCAAATTGTGATGAATTTATTTTTGTATATGTATATTTACATACATGAAAGAGTTGTGGTATATGTGTACGTGTATGTGTATACGTGTTTGTGCGTATTTATATGTGAACGTAGATCATAAGCGTGTTAAACCATTAAACGAGTAATGGATCTCATATGTGCACACAACTTTATGAATGATATTAATAGCTATAAATTGGTGAAAATAGAGATAATCATGTATAATAGAGGTGTGAAAAAAACGAAGCGGAAAAAACGACGTTTGGTGCCCGAAAAACTGAAAATAAGAATTATCCGTAGCTAATCCGTAGCGAATTAGCTACGGACTAGCTACGGATTTCTAACGGAAAGCACATTCCGTAGCTAATCCGTAGGAAATTCAACTTAGGAGAAAAGGAAAGAAGAAGGGTGATATCTATGGCATAGGAGCATCAGATATACATTTTGTGATTACTGGGACACCGTCTTCCCAATCCACCCAATCCACCCAATCGGATAGTACACAACAAGAGGTATGTTGTTATGGTTTAAACGTTAATTAGTATGTTGATAATATTGATATAATAAACTAAAGTACATTGATAATATTGTTTAACTATTGTATTGTGTTGCCATTTTTTTAGGTTGATAGGTTGCGTGCACAAGTTTCTACCATGGAACAACAACAACAACAAATGAAAGAACAAATGGAAATGGTTATGAGGATGATGAATATGTCTGGAAATCAACCCCGTGCTCCCCCTGATAATCCACCTGAGGACAATTGATAAGTATTTTGGAACAATTTAGTTTGTAAACATTTGATATTGTTTGTTTTGTTTAGTGCTTACTTTTGTAAGATATTTTGGATAATGGATTGGAATGTGTCAAACTTGGTATGACGGACGTTTTTTGGTGTATTTTATATGGTATTTGGGACAAATGTGAATTTAATATGGTATTTGACAAAAAATTGGAAATTTTTAAATTATTTTTTTTATAAATAAAACGAAGTTAGCTACGGAATCGCTACGGATTTCCGTAGCTATTTACTTGCGTAGCGATTCCGTAGCTGTTTTGTTCCGTAGCTATTCCGTAGCTATTTTGTTCCGTAACTATTCCGTAGCTATTTTCTTCCGTAGCTATTCCGTAGCTATATAGTGTCGTAACTATTCCGTAGGAAATCCGTAGCTATTTAATTCCGTAGCTATAGTAGCTACGGAATATTCCGTAGCTATTCCGTAGCGATTTTGTAGCTAATCCGTAGCTATACTTTAGCCACGGGCTATTATGCTACAGTCAATTTTCCGTAGCAATTCCGTAGCTATCCGCTTATAGCTACGGAATAGCTACGGATTGTACCGTAGCTATTGCACCCATTTTCTAGTAGTGGAACAGGTGGCTTGAACCTTGGAAATCAATCCGACAACATGATGACGAACCAATAATCGGTGGTAAACCCGATGTTTAGCCTTCCGGTTTAATGTGTCGGCCAAAACCAATAGTTGTCGATTCTTGACTTTACTTGAACAATGAATCACAAATCTTTGTTTAGAACAAGATGGAAGGGACGAATTAAGGAGGATGCATGCATTGAAGAACGAAAATGGACGATGGGAGAATTTGGGATTTAATCTGGGGATGAGATTGGGGTGTTTGGGGTTTATTAACTTATTTATTTTTTATTAAATTTAAATGAATTAAAAAGGATCAAAGAAATTAAAATGTAAAAATGTCATTGCATATGGTTTAGGGACCAGCCATGCAACTTTTAGAGACCATAATGACCATGTTCGTCAAACAAATTAACAAAGATTGCAGTTGTAACATTTGGTAAACCACAAAGTCCATTTGAGTAATTTTTGTATTCAAAAGGTAGGTATCATGAACAAAGATCTAATAATTGGATGTTCTCTATATGACCATGAGGCCTATTTAAACGATAACAGAAATGCCATACTAATTGCTTTACCTCCTTGTATTCTTATTTAAAAAGAGTGTAATAAGTCAATAACTTTGGGGACGAAGGAAGAGAAAGGGAAGGAATCAATATAGTTACTTGAAAGGTTCATAATCAAATGCACTCAAGTCATGAAAAAAGAAAAAGGATGTCACTAGAGTGGTAAAAAAGACATACATGATGTAAAGACATTCCAGTTAGTTCTTGACTAAATTCTATTAGTATGGATGATCTTTGTTTATCTCCACAAAAGGAAGATTCCTTCTGAAATCTTAGATTAACCAAAATGATTTAAAGAACAATTCCAGCATATTCAACAAGCTTCTCAACATCTTTTCATCCACTTATACGAGACAATACTAAACATGATCATGGAAGAGGCATCTACTTCTAATCAAAAGATAGACTGAGAAGCACTTATGAGATAGGCAATGGCGGAGCCAATACCGAGGCAGACGGATATGCATCCCCCCCTAATTGGTATCTCTTTTTGTTAAATGAAGCCACACACAAATATACATTATGAAATTAAAAACCCACGCCTCTCCTAATGAATTCAATTGATGTGGACATGATATATTAAGATTTTTTTACATACAAATTTACTTAATATTTTGATGTCTTTCGGTGATATTATATTCGGATTAATAACAAACTAATCTTAAAATTTATTATATATATATATATATATATATATATATATATATATATATATATATATATATATATATATATATATATATATATATATATATATATATATATATATATATAATTTTCTGTAATTTGTAATTAAAATATCATTATAATTGTTAATTTGGTGTTTTATATTCCTAGTTATATTATGAGCCTCAAGATTACTTTTTAAAACTATATATAAATGAATTTTGTTACTAATCCTTGCAACCTAAAAATAATAGTAACATCAAATGGCCAATATTGAATAAAAAATTGATATTTCATATTCAAATGCTTTAAAGTTAGATTCTTTGATCGTGATCTTAGAAATCGAAATTCAGTTTTAAATTATCCAGCTCCACATCGAGTTAGGTCATATAAAATTATCGTAGCATGGTTAAATAAATGAAAAAAATATTGTAAAGATTGTATTTTAATAATCCTTGAATATAAGCCCCCGTTATTTTATAATTCTTGCTCGGTCCCTATAAGTAGGAGACCTATCCCTTACTCTATCGACATACTTTTAGTCGATTTCTTTCCTGCAACTTTGACCTTTCGTCATATTTTTGGTCAAAGTCCACTTATCCTAATTAGGATTAGTCTCGTTCCACTTATAATATCCAACTAGAAAGTTAAGGCCAATCAACCTGTAGGATTAGCCGACACTTATTTGAACTAGGTGGTGGTTGTTAGTCCACTAAATATTCTCATATCACGAAGCTGTGTGGAATATAAGATAAATTCTAAATCAAATACAATCATATTCTTAAATAAAGTTCCCAAGAATTGGTTACATACTAGAAAATTGAAGTGAAAATGACAAACTATATATACCTCATACCAACAACCAGATAGTAGAGAGACCGATTGATATTGGTTCAATCACATACTAGAAAGAAAAACATTTTTCAAAGCCTATAAACCAACTAACCATCAATTTCTTTTAATTCTTCCTAGGCTTTCATGACTTTGCGAACACCAGTAATCACATCCTAGACCATAACACATGCATGCTTATGGTCGTATCATGCCATGATGGTGTTGGTCTTTACACATGCAATGTTCCCAAGATAAGGTTATTTGTATGTCACCATTATTCCATTTTAGAGTTTAGTATTAGATTCCAACCTAGCATAGGTACTCTTCACGTATGTTGAGATAGTAAGCCCAAAATGATGAAGTTGTAGTTACTACCATTATATGGAAAGATTAATGGGGTCAAACAAAGTGCGGGCATCATATTGAATACTTCATTGAGACTACAACTGGAATGTAAATGCTCTATTGATAGATCCATAAACACATCTACAAATCTAAGAGATTCTTACGTGTTGAGTGGTGCTATGTTGATCGATCAAAAAATGGAATTTACTGGGCTTTCACCTATACTTCTTTCGCCTAGTACTTTAGAAAGGGAGAGAAAGGCGTTGTTACTTATTCGGATTTGTGCCACCATTTGCTTGTTCATGCTTTTTCAGATTTGTGTCAAGATTTACGATTTTTTTTCTCTAAAAGCTATGTTAAATCTTTTGATTCAATAAGTCTTCAATCCTTGTTTTTCACATATTATATTTTGTGGGCATAAGTCGGACCATTGTATATGAACATGTGGATTCCATGAAAAACACATGTTAACAAAAAATTGGGGAAGAATTAGAAAAAATTAAGCACATGCAATTTTTTGAAAATACCAAGAGCCAATATGGAAATTTCAGAAGTTTAGGGATCAAAATGCAACCTTTAAAGCTAAAGGTACCAAACTACACACTTTCAAAAATACATGGGCCAATGTGCAAATAATAAGAAGCACAATGACCAACCTCGAATATTTCATGGACTAATATGGAGTTTTCAAAATGATTAGGATCATTATGCAATGTTTTAGAACTACAGTAACTATCTTCAACTTTCTAAAGTCTAGTCAACTTGATGATGTAGATGATAACGTCGTAGATATCGTGGTCGTCTTCTTCGGAAAGCTGCTGGCCGGACGGTTGTTTGCCGGCAGGGTTGACCGTTAAAGAGAAACTTTGACAGATCTTTTCAGGACCTTCTCATAGTGTAAAAATTCCAATAATATATATTCGGAATCCTTATAACCAAACTTGTTTAATGGTCTTTCCAGAAAACGATTTTCAGACAAAAACAAATTTCGACCAAATTAAATTGGAAAAAGTTTAATAAAACGGAACGGAATTCGGAAACTAAACCAACCCACTAATGAACACTTGCACTTTAAGTGTTTCTCTCTAAAGATTAAATTGCCCAGAGTTGATTCATTATAACGATTTACAGTGTTGACTCCCTTTTCTTCTTGTTATTTACTATTGAATATGATCAAGGACTAAAGTGTCGGTGATATTATCTAACACATGTTTGAAGTAAGACAATTTGAAGATCTATATATACAAATAAGAAACGTACAAAGTTAATTGATGGATATCATTATTACCTGGCCATCGTCGGTTATGCCATCGCCCTTAGCGCCTTTGGATTTAATGTTGACAACAGCAGCATGGCTTCTTGCAATGTATGCTATAAGAAACAAGCAACATATTGCTTGTCGGATCGACTTTTCTGTATACATTATATTGAAGCTCTTGTTATTTGCTTGTGGGTTTTATTTTTTGGTTGTCCTCTAAAGAAGTAATGAGAGAGGTCAAGGGAGACAATTTATATATAGGAGATATGATTTCCTAAGTTGTAGGTAACAAGGTCATATACGGGAATATCTTTTCATTATTTGACCAAATATTTTTGGCAAGCATTTCATATCGTATTATTAGATCCTTTTTGACCAAATTTTAGAAAACTAGTCTCAAATGCAAGCCGGATCGGGTTTCAAATAATAATTAATGAAAACTTAAAACCACAAATATGAGACTTATACGATCCTAAGACGTACTAAATGATAAACCACATAAAGTAAAGCACCAAAAAGTATCACCATAAATGGGTGGGTTGGATGGCTATCCTCTTAAGTTAAATCTTGGCTTTCACGTTAGCAAGTTGCACAAAACCGCCTTTAAAGTAATGTATACATTCAAAAGATAAGAGAGAGTCTTCTATTTTATTTCAAAAAGGGTTAACTTACAATTTTCAAAGTGGGGTTTATTTTTATAATTTTATATAGTATTTATATTTTGTAATCCTAATAATTTTCAATTATATATAGCAGCCATGAGCCACCTCAATAGGGGTCAAATGCATCCATTTTGCATAATTCACGGGTGTATTAATTAGCGATCTGACTTGACTACTGACGATTTTTATATAAGGATTTTTATTTCTATTTTTTTAATGGTAAACAAACAATCATACTTCTCAATTTATGTTTTTTTGCTCATATTTCAAAGCAGATACATATTTCAAATACATATTAATACCGTTAGACAACGGAAGGTTCGTGAATAACTCAAGTCTAATACGAATAAGTTATTCAAAAAACAACTAAATTTTTTACTATTTCTTAAATAATTAGGTATAAAATCCGTACTACGGATCGAATAAAAAAAGATTAAATGTTAAAATGTAACAATAAATATTTTTTTAAATAAAGGTTCGAAATAAGAAATAAAAAAATATATTAATTGCAATTTAGTATCATATCTATGACATTTAATGATTTGCATATATAAATATATAAATATTATATAACTTTTTAATTTTAAATTTTGAAAAACCCTAAGAATTGACATTTGAATATTATTTATTTCAAAAATATTACAAAATGATAAGTATCAAAACTTAATGAGAGATTGATATATGGTAAAATAAATCTTTATTTATTATAGTTTATTATTTTCAGTAACATGATATTTCTAGGTACCAAGAATTAGTATTCATTTCAGATTCAAACAAAAAAAATGTTTTATTGTTAGCAATTAAATGTTGTAGTTCTATTAGAAGAATATATACTTTTTGAAAAGCTATCTAAGGTTATGTTTGGCATGTTAGTTGAAAAGTAGCTATTAAATAAAATAAATACTTGATAACTAAAAAGTTAGCTGATAAAAAATAAAGTTTGGTAAAACTAGTTGAAACATATAAAATTACATAAAAAAACATTTACGAGAATACGTTTTTATAATCAAAAGGTATATTTGGAAATTGTTTTAAAAAAAAACTTCTAAAAAACTAATCTACGTAGTTTTTTAAAAATCTAGCTTATAAACTATTTTTTGTTTGTCAAATATAACAATATAAAAATTCTCGAAAACTAAGATAGCTTACTACTTAGCTTTGATGCGCCAAACAAAACCTAAGAATACTCACCTAATAGTGTAATTAATTGAACCACCATTTTATTTAACCTACCACTTTATTATCACATCACACTTACATAATAACTATTTATGACATTTCACATTCCCATTCAACTTTCCACCTACCACCATATTCACAATCTATTAAAACGTTTTATATCATAACATAATTCATTACAAGTCATCCATAACATAATTCACAGCAAAAACCATTAAATAGTTTTTGAGAAAATGTATTTTGATTCATCAAAATTCATTATCAACTCTATATGTCCTTTAACCACCTAGTAAGCTAAGGGATCATGACATATTTGGATCTATAATGAAGATGTTAGTTACAGAGAAGTAGACTAGCGAGAACTGTAATCGAAATCTAAGCGAGTCAAGCAACAAAGGGATGTTAAGGGAGCCCCTAAAACATGAAAAAATGGATATTGGACACACACACAATAATAATAATAATAATAATAATAATAATAATAATAATAATAATAATAATAAATATAAATAAAATAAAATTTAAACTGCTAAGTATTACATTAATAATAATAATAATAATAATAATAATAATAATAATAATAATCAACATGACATTAACATTATAGAGTATGATATATGGAGTATTTGTAAGAAAATAAACAAAGAAAAGGCATAAGTTGATACAGAGAAAATAAAATTCTTATATGACTATCTCGAATTAAATCTTCCCTAATAAATGAAAATAATTTTGATACATGTCACTCTCTCTTTATCTTGGAGACATATCATTTTTTTTGTATTTTTGAATAATTGTTTTTTTCATTTGTCATTTTCTCATTTTTTATATTTTCTTAATTAACACATCATATTTACATCTCAATTAATAATTACCTTAATTGAAAATAACCAATAAATTACAATATTATTACTCATATATTATTTAATATGTTTTCTTTTAAATTCAAATTTTAAATTTCAAATTTGAATAAAATTTTATTTAAACTTTCATTTTAATTTTTTTTTATTAAACCCGTATAACATACAAGTCTCACACCTAATTTCATAAAAAAATAAAGATGAATGATTTTGTAATAATAATCCTTGTAATGATCATTTCTATTAATGAGAAGTATGTATATCGTAATTATCTTTTAAGGTAATGTTTAACACTTATTTGATAATAGCATTGCGAGTTTGTTAAACAAACTTATATGTTAATATAATCATAAATAAAGAGAAGCCAATTTTTTCACATGAAATTAAACATAATTATCTACATATGTTTAACATAATAAAATACAATATCTAAATGTATAAGTCCCAAATAGAGAACCAACTAGTGATAACAATAAATCAAATGATGAATCAAGCAAATTAGATCAAGATGGAAGCACCAAATCAATCCAAATGCACACGATCTTCTATTCAACCAATCATCTGGTACAAAGGATCTAATTAAATGAAAAAGCTTACCTGAATCTATCAATCTAGGACACTATTTATAGGGCACAAAAAGAAAAATAAGATTACAGCCGAAAACAAGCAAGGGACCGAAAACGGAACGTTTTTCGGTCCAACCAACCGAAAACCCACAAACAGCCCATAGAATGAGTAATAAAGCCTATAAAACATATATGTCTAGCACAAACCAACAAAATAAGTTCTAACAATCTTCCCCTTGGTTTGATGCTAGCATGAAATCAATGTTTTTCGATGAACATCACATCTGAGCTCCCAGTGACTCTTACCCACATGCGCTTGTTAATGATCTCAGCAACCATGTCAGGAAACTCTTTAGCAGCAACCCCTAAAATATCATTATTGACCATGATCTAATGCTTTGCCAAGGTACGGATATCACGTTCACCATACTGTAGGAGATCCTTTGCTACAAGAAGACGAATATTACTATTCGACAGCATGATGAAGGCAGTGGCTATTGCCTCATCAAATACCCAGAATTCCATGTTCTGCAGAGAACCGTCAGGTAATTGTGGAACAATAGGAATCTTTATCATTTGTTTGGTAGGAGGTCACATCACATTTTTACGGTACGGTTGGTGTTGGGATCAATTACGCCCTTGGTTTTCTTGAAAAAAGATTCTGCAGTCGTCATCCCAACGAACTTTTTCTTTACTTGGTTCTCCAAAAGATCTTGAAGTTAGTTCCAGAACGATCGTTCGATGGGTTGTGTTAGGGAGACTCAGCCACTTCTGTAAGATCAACTTTATTCCATGAACGAAATTCATTTTATTGCGCATAATACTCCACATTTCCACTTTTCCTTTTGACTGCCCATATGTTGTAACGACCGAAAATTTAAGACCAAAATTTTCTTTTTTAATAAATCATTACTTAAAGTAAAGTCATCATTCCAAAACATAATATGAGTATAAGTTTTCAAAACACATGTTCATTATCAGAGTAAACATTCCCAGACTGTCTAATCTATGGTGTGTGCCATGCGATCACCCGAGCTCTTCCCTTCGCTACCGGAAGTACCTGAAACCAAAACTGAAAACCGTAAGCACGAAGCTTAGTGAGTTCCCCACCCTACCACATACCATGCATAACCACATATTGCACATACTGCGCCACGCTCGCACTTCTTGGGCCTCGCCCCCTACAACAGCCCCGCCGCTCCAGGCCCCGCCTGGCTTCGAGCCCCGCTCGGATACAGATCTGTTTTACTTAGGCCCCGCCTGTCACAGGGCCTTGCCCGCCAACAATTAATATCACATAAGCATATCACAACACATAACTAAGCACATACAACTGGTTCTGTCCTAAGGCCTCGCCTATCCTGGGCCTCGCCTATGTACTGCTACTGATGAGTCATGGAACCCCGTCCACGCTCCTAGTGGTAGTGAGATACGGGCCCAGCCCACCCTCACTCCTTTCCTAACTTGGGCATCGCCCCTGTTATGTGACTATGGAGATGTGGAATCCCATCCACACTCTGCTATTGGTGAGATACGGGACCTCGCCAACACTCACCTCCCTACCAGGCACATACATGTATCACACAGACAACAAGTATAAACTATCATATAAACAAACCCATGGGCACCCGCTTGGCTACTACTGGACCTCGTCCTGAAAATCATACTAGCATACTATGCCTAGGGCTAACCCCCGAGTCTTGTACTCATAACTACATGGGCCGGCATTGTGGCCTTAGACCTATTCACACAAAGGGAAACTCACCTGCACTGGCTGAACTTGCTGATGATCTCACCAGCTGCTGCCCGACAACTCACTGAACTCCTGCTCCCCTTACTCCCCGAACTACTAATATCAATGCAACACTGAGTCTAACTGACCCCCGAAAGACAACCAAGTCAACCCTGGTCAAGGTCAAAGTCATGGTCAAAGTCAACCTTCCAGATCAACCCTACTCGCCGAGTCACCCTACTGACTCGCCGAGTTCAAAATGATCAGATTCCTTCCATTCGCGACTCAACTCGCCGAGTCTACCGGTTTCTGAGTCCTGACCTGCCCAACTCACTGAGTCTCCTCCCGACTCACTGATTCGAGTCTCAACTCGAAGGGTATGGGGTTTCGCGACCTGACTCGCCGAGTCCAAGAACATACTCGCCAAGTACAAGGCAATCTTCATACGACTCGACGAGTTGTTCATCCCACTCGTCGAGTTTCTCCACAACTTCATTCTACTTGCCGAGTCCACTCAAAGGACTTGCCGAGTCCCTTCAGTTCTCCTTACATGCAGAGGACTTTTGAGTCATGCATGGAATCCAAACTATAGATCTACCCTTCCCAGGCCTATTCCT